CCTCTGCTCTCCCCTCCCCTCCTCTGCTCTCCCCTCCCCTCCTCTGCCCTCCCCTCCCCTTCCCTCCCCTTTCCTCCCCTCCCCTCCCCTTCCTTTCACTTCCTTTCCTCCCTTTCCCCTTTCCTCTTTCCTTTTCTCCTTTTTTTCTGTTTTTGTTTTTGAGACAGCTTCACTCTTTTGCCCAGGCTGAAGTACAATGATGCAATCTCAGCTTATTGCAACAATACTTTTTTTTTATTGTAATAAAAAATATATAACAAGCTGGGCGTGATGGCTCACACCTGTAATCCCAGCACCTTGGGAGGCCGAGGCAGGTGGATCACTTGAGGCCGGGAGTTCAAGACCAGCCTGGCCAACATGGTGAAACCCTGTCTCTCTAAAAATACAAACATTAGCCAGGCATGGTGGTGCACACCTGTAGTCCCAGGTATTCAGGAGGCTGAGGCACGAGAATTGCTTGAACCCAGGAGGTGGAGGTTGCAGTGAGCTGAGACTGAGCCACTACATTCCAGCCTGGGTGACAGAGTGAGACTCCATCTCAAAAAATAAAGGGGTCAGGTGCAGTGGTTCACGCCTGTAACCCCAGGACTTTGGAAGCCGAGGCAGGAGTTTAAGACCAGCCTGCAAAGATGGTGAAACCCCATCTCTACTAAAAATACAAAAATGAGCCGGGCATGGTGGCAGGAATCCCAGTTACTCCAGAGGCTGAGACAGAGAATTGCTTGAACCCGGGAGGCAGAGGTTGCAGTGAGCCAAGATCATGCCATTGCACTCCAGCCTAGGTGACAGAGTGAGTCAGTGTTGATGAGGATGTTGATGAGGCAGAGCCCTCATGACCTAAATACCTCTTAAAGTTACCACCTCTTAATAGTGTTACAACTTCAACTGAATTTCAACATGAGTTTTGGAGGGAACAAACATTTAAATCATAGCACATGGTAATTCTATATTTAACTTTTTTGAGGATCTGCCAAACTGTTTTCTATACTGGTTGTGCCATTTTGCATTGTTTCTACCAGCAGTGTATGAGGATTGCAAGTTCTTTACATCCTCATCAACACTAAGTATTTTAAGATTTTTTTTTTTTAATTAAGGCCATCTTAATGGATGTGAAATATTATCACATTGTGGTTCTGAATGTATTCATTCCTTTAATGACCAATGGTGTTGAACATTAGTTCATGTACTTAATGACCATTTATATATTCCCTTTGGAAAACTATCTTCAAGTCCTTTGCTTATTTTATTATATTCTATTATTTTTATTGATTTTATTTGTATTTTATTTTTTGAGACAGAGTCTTGCTCTGTCACCCAGGCTGGAGTGCAGTGGCGTGATCTTGGCTCACTGCAACCTCTGCCTCCTGGGTTCAAGTGATTCTCCTTGCCTCAGCTTCCTGAGTAGCTGGAATTACAGGAGTGTACCACCACCCCGGCTAATTTTTTGTATTTTTAGTACAGACGGGGTTTCACCATGTTGATCAGGCTGATCTCCAACTCCTGAACTAGTGTCTTTCCCCCCAACTTGGCCTCTTGAGGTGCTGGGATTATAGGCGTAAGCCACCGTGCCCTGCCCCTTTGCTTATTTTTAAATTGGGTTGTTAGTTTTTTTTTGTTCTGGAGTTGTAATAATTCTTTTTATATTCTGGATATTAATGTCTTATCAAGTATATGATTTGCAAATATTTTTCCAATTCTGTAGGTTGTCTTTTCACTGTCTTGTTAGTGTCAGTGTCATTTGATGCATAAGTTTTTAATTTTTGTGAAGTCCAGTCAATTGATTTTTTGTAATATGACATATGTTGCCTATGCTTTTGGTGTCATATATAAGAAACCAGCCATGCTGATTTTTCTACTTTGTTTTTCTTCTAAGACTTTTATAGGCTTATAAAGTTTGATAGGTTTTAAGGCTTACCTCTTAAATTTAGGTCTTTGGTTTATTTTAAGTTAATTTTTGTATATGG